CTGACCTGCCCACTGCCTCCCTTAGCAGTGTACTTCATCACTCTGCCTGTTCTGCTCCCCACTCTGTCTCTAGTGAATCCTCGCACCCCCCACACCTTTGGCCTCTACCCTAGCTCTTGTATGCATAAATAAATACTTTTAAACATAAATAAATTAGCAAAGTCCATTGAACATGTGTATACTGCACTCTAATATATACTGTTTACATGAGTGTTTGAAGTCAGAACTTGACCTAAAACATTAGGTTTGTTTAACCAAGGAGGCGTAAAGCATTCTATCAACTCATTTGCTCATGTTCATTGAGCTTTGTGCTCTTGGATTCAGGGACGTGTGTGAATGAGACGCGCTATATCTAACGCAACTGAAAGAGATTGATAAAACCTCATGAAGGCAGTGTTTCCAGAATGTGTTTAGAGGAATACTAGTCAGATGTCCAGAAGGTCAAGTTTCAAGAGCCAAGCAAGTTGGGGAAGCATTACATGGTCTTTGTTATTCTGTAGAGCAATAATAATAGCTTATTAAACCCTCAGAAAGTTCCCGTAGTGATGAAGCTATTTAGCTCTGTTTCACCTGGATTCTCAAGTGTGCGGATCTTTGAAGAAGGACCTGGAGCCAGTCCATGCATAGACCACAGCCTGAGAAACCCCAGACTAAGACATCTGTGATGCTTAATGTGAAGTCTGTGATGAGAAATTCAGTTTCTCATTTGGAAGTAGACCATATAAATCCAACACAGAGAAATTGCCTGTTTTTATTAGTTTAGATTTATAAATGAAAATGTAAGAGTTAGATCCTATGACAAATGGAAAATGAATTTGATTTGCTTGACTTGCCCAGTGATTTTTAATTTTTAGAATCATCTCTATAAACTAGCAATTATGATGATGCAGTCACCAAATGGTGTGTAATTATACCCATGAAATAATGGATAATGAGTGCTTTTTTAAATGAAAAAAAAATCCCTAGAGTAATTGTTGGCTGATGAAAATAAATTAATTCAATTCAGTACTTAAGGAATGAAATGACTGTGACCCCTGAGCAGTAGAGACACACATAGAAGCCTTTCCTTGTGGAGAGTTACAATAGTAAAAGACTGAACTGTTAAGAAAATGTGGTTTCCACTCCCTTTTCTTTGGTATATTCACTCTTAGACTTTAAGATGATAAATTTCCAAAGAAACTGGCAAACAGATATTTCATAGCTGGTAATAGATGGCAGGATTTGGGCACAGTACTTTGTCTCTGGGGCCACACACTTAACCCTGACTAGCTTTGTGCCTTCAGCAGGTACAAAGTCAATTTTAGTAGCAATTTCGTTTCTGGTTTCTCCAACCACCCAACAAAAGTAAATTTGCTTTGTAAATACAGCATCTTAAATACTCTAGTGCTGGAGAATACTTCGGAAGAGTTCAGAAGTACTTTTACTACAGTGTGAAAATTGCTTTCATCCTGAGGCCCCATCTGTGTATAAGTCCCCAAGGGAACAGTCGGTGCTGTTTGTCAAGAAAGTGGCTTCCAGTGATGATCATCACTTGATGCAGTTGATTCTGTGGAGGCAGACTGCTACTACAGCCTCCAGTCATAACTTGATCATAAAATGGCTCATTTGATAGCTATTTATAGGCACAAGCTCAGATTTTCATAATGGTTGTTGTGGCATAGAATTGCAAATGTTTCATAAAATGTAGGCACTTGCTTTTTGGGGCATGAGAGATCTTGTTTCCAAACTTTGAGAATAAAATTCCCTAATTTCGGAGTAAATGCATTCTCTGATTTATAAAATTTAATTTTTTGTTAATGTTGCTTAGTCACAGTTTGCTGTCTAAATGTAGAGGGGGGGGGGCCTCCCTGATGGCACAGTGGATTAAAGCACAGCACTAGGAAGCTCTTTCAAGCCACTGTAGCATGAGCTCAATTCCCAGCCAGGGAGGTGACCCACATGGCACGGCAGATCTCGCCTGTCTTGCCCGCTGCTCCCCTCAGCAGTGTATTTCATCAGTTTGCTTGTTCTGCTCTTTACTCTGTCTCTGGTGAATTTTCTCACCCCCTACACCTCTGGCCTGTACCCCAGTACTTGTATGCATAAATAAATAAATCTTTAAAAAAAATAAAATAAATGTAGGGTGGGATTTAATGTAGTTACTGAGTCTTTGAATAGAGTTAAGCCTGGAAAACTATTTAATCGCCACCATCAATAATAACATTATCATAAATATTGTTAAATTTTATTTAAAATGATAGGGAATGTATGTATTAAATTTGAAAATAAGGGAGGTAAATTAATTTGTTTATTTAACTGAGATATCAAATACTTAGATTTTGGAGCAGACTTGTAAGCTTTTATGTCCCGGGCTCCCAACAGAGACTGGTTTTCTTAGGACTTAGAATCTCTTTTTTCTCAAAGTAAGAGGAATTTTTGCTGCTGGAAAGAGAGTTTAACCATTCTCTTACCTTCCTTACCATAACTAAGGTGCTCCTGGGATGGCCTTTCCCCAACAATTCATGAGGCGTGCCCTAGCTGACATCTGGACTTTGAACCATCTTCCAGAATGTTGTGTTGCTCATCCAAGTGTCTGCCCACATCGTTAGATGCATCTGCAGTGAGAAAAAGGCCACTGATAGAAAAAGGAAACGAAAGAAATTTTACTTTAGAAATAAGTGAAATTAACATTAGCCCTTCTTTGACCATTTACTATTTAGGATGCCACCAAATTAGGGAGCAGTTATCATTGGTCATGCACATACTTTTAATGCTAGACTAGTCATAGAGAAGGTTCTCACTTATTTCATCAGTCAGTGCCGAAGGCCAATTAAATGATAATGCAACGATCCCTGTGACACCTGACAGAATTTTTGAATTTAATTTTTAATGGATTCATTTTATGAATGGTCAGTTCTTTTTAATGTTCTTTGATGATCTTCAAACACTAATTATCAATTTGCTCAATTACCCATTGGGGGTTTTACTCATTGGAAGCCATAGTAGTTGTCATGAATTCTCCACTCTGTTTTCACTCCTGAAAAAGTAAACACTGAAAACATACGCACATTCAGAAGTCAAGCCTTTCACAATTTTTTGTGCTTTTGTCATATTTATATTGCACACTCCTTCTAAATAATGCAGAAGTGAAAGTAATGTAATCCTTATTGGGGGAGCTACATCCTTACTTACATAGTGCCTCCTGTATGGGAGACATCTGAAACTGTACGGCGTTCCTTTCCTGTTCAAATGGGATGTATAAAAGAGGTGCTTTCAAGGACTGATGAAGTTTGACGGTCAGCTTGTGCCTGTACTGAGAATGCCAGACTGTCACCTGCGGTTGTGATTATTCTGACTGCTTCTTCACTGTCTTATGCTTGGGGCATTGTAGTTTAAAGCACTTCTCTCTTACTTCAAATTTTCTATGCTCTCTCTGTAAGGCCAAAACTGAAGGTGACCACAGGAAGTAAGCAGAGTCGTCTGAACATCACTGATCCCCCATTAGGTCCCGATCTCGATGCAGACTCTGGCCCACAGAGGTCTGGGGCTGTGATGCTGGGCTGGAGGCTCCTGTCTGTGTATTTGTGCAGGTATTTTTCTGCACACACTGAGCGTTCAGATTTCTTTGCGTGCAAAGCTCTTAACTCCAGCTTTGAAGATGTTTCCTGTGATCGACAAGTGATTTCATCCCTCTGTGCTTCCAGTTCCTCATCTATCAAATGGGGATTTAATAGTATCTTCCTCTGAGGACTGTTGTGAGGATTACTTGAGTTAACGTTTCTAAAGTTCTTAGAGCAATGGTGCATAGTAAGAGTTAAATAATTAAAAGAAAAAGGAGATTGAGAACCAGATAAGTAACTCTTTAGGCTTCTTCAAGAAAAGATCTGAGAAGATGCTCCTTCTGGTTTGGGGTGATTTACACTTCCTTTTCTGAGGTGGGAGTGGAATGATGGACGTGAAGCAGCAGGACGGAAGGGTATTACCTACAATGCGTATGGGGAACGCTGGCAGCAAGCACAGGGCCTGGCTGGATGAAGTAATATATGGGTAAATGGTCTCAGCAACTCCTTGGGGATGCTTTACAATAGATTTTAAAAGGTAACAAGAGAAATAAACTGAACATAAATGGTGTTGAAGGGGCTGAGGGCAAAGCTTATGCCAAGAGTTAGCAGTTACGATCTCACAAAGCCTGAAGCAAAGTGATTCCCAGAGATTTTATGATGTGTGTGTGTGTGTGTATACAATACGTATACACATATATAGACATATGTGTGTGTATATAATATGCATCCACATATATAGACATATATACACACATACACATGTCTACACACATGTATTCACATTTTTTAAGTGTCTGACACATATTTTCCTCAGTTTCCTCTGTAGAAAGGGGCATGTGCCGTCTGCTTTGTTAAAGAAAGTGGAGCCAGTGCCCTCCCTGGTGGCACAATGGATTAAAGCACAGCACTGTGAAGCTCTTTGCAGCCACTGTAGCACAAGTTCAATCTCCAGTCAGGGAGGTGACCCACATGGCTTGGCAGACCTCTCCTGACCCAGACCTACCCGCTGCTCCCCTCAGCAGTGTATTTCATCAGTCTGCCTGTTCTGCTTCCCGTTCTGTTTCTGGTGAATCCTCTCAACCCCCCCACCTTTGGCCTGTACCCCAGTTCTTGTATGCATAAATAAATAAATCTTAAAAAAAAAGAAAGTGGGCCCACCTTTATGTGGCACATGCCAGGGGGTACTGTACTGGCTGCTGTGAAGCCCAGAATCCCCTTGGTTTTGTCCTCAGGTGTTTCTTGAGAGCCCGGACAACAGAAGACATACCAGACCCTTGACTCATCTCTACCTGGCTGTGCACACAGCCAGGGCCAGCCCTAGATTCCTGGCACAGGGCTTGGGCTTGGTGGCTGCCCTTTGCCCTGACTCTCTGTTAGAGGCAGCTGAGTTGTAATTTGCGCTACACTCTGAGTATAGCCCTGTCAAACTGCAGCCTACGTTTATATTGCAATTCACAGACAAGAAGAAGGGGAGCAAATTCCAGCCTTTTAAGAAGTTGTTTGGCAAACGGAAAAAGAAAGACGCTTCACTGTCCCAGGACGCATCAGCAGGGAAGAATCATTCTCCCCAGAGTGTCAGCAATGGGACCTTCTCTTCAGATGATGAGACTCTGGAGGACAATCTAAGGTAAGATACTCACACATTTCCCCCCCTCCTCCCCAATCTTGGGTGGAGTTCCAGAGTCGGGGGAGGGAATTCCCTAAGGAGACAGGAGGGGAATCACAGACGTTCCTCCTCTGGGGAGATGGAAGACTTGGTGTATCATGTGCATTCTGTGTGGAGAAGTCACCTTAGAGGACTGGCAGGTGAGAGTGACCTCACTAGGTAGAAAAGCACAGGCCTCACCTGTCATTGGTGGCAGGTCTTTTAAGACTGCACTCTGCAATCTGTGCCACCATAGACATGGTGGTATAAAATCAAGAAGGGGAATTTATTAGGGGGAAAGGATAACTCTACAGATAAAGGTTTTTCAGACTCCACCCCCACGCCAGGCACCAAAACTACAAATACCATCAACACCAAAGGGAGAACTGCTAGAACCCGAGGGCAGAGTTAAGCAGCCATTTTGGAGATTTTGGGAGATAAAACCAGACATGTTGGGTTGAGGGTCTCTCTCTTGGCCTAGTGTCTGGTCTCTTGGTTCTGGATCAGCTCTCAGCTTGCCATTGGGGTTCCAGGTCATCGGAACTGGGAGGATGCATTAGTTAACTTGTATCTCTCTTTCCCTGGGTTGTTCCTTTTCTTTTTCCCTTGTAAATAAGCCCATTGTTGATCTTTTTGTGCTTATCCGCAGTGCAGTTGAATCTTATAGGAATGAGTGAGGACCCACAAACAAGTAACCCAGTTCACACTGGGTTGCCCTGTAACAGTAGCGGGAGCACCTCTTGGCTCAACAGGTTTCCTGTTACCCCACATCCCACTACGTGGCAAAGAGAAGGGATGGTGTATTAAAAGAGCTTTTTAATACGTGTGTCGATGCTCCTGAGGCATACCCTGGCCCCCCCACCTTTCTTTCTTACAGTAGAGGTTCTTTGGGAACTCAGGGAGCCAGAGTCAGAGATGGTTAAACTCTGTTCTCACAACTTAGAAACCCCCTTCTCTGAGAAGCCTTGCCCACACTGTCGTCATATCTGTGTTCCTCTGTCACAGGGTGCCCAGCTCCAGCAAAGAACTTGTCTTTCTCTATGGAAAATATTGATGAGGTTGCCTCTCTCACTTAATTACAAGTTCCATGAAATCCAGGACCAGGTTTTTATTCAGTCTCATTACTAGATCTCCCCAAAAGTTTCCAATGAATGTCTGGCACCTTATAACCCACCCTAATGCATGTTGAAGGACTGGATGATGTCGTCTGTGGTATTCTGTGTTTCCAGAATGAGGACAGAAACAGCCACATAGCCATCTGTCAGTCAGTTCTCATAGCTACGGCTGTTTGGGCCCAAACTGTGAAGCCCTGAGGCCAGTGGACACACTGGGTTTTTCCGCGCCCACCGACGGCAATGTTAGTCTGCTGGTAGTGATTTCTTTACGACAGACCTGAGTTTGTTTCCATTGGCTTTAGTAAATTCCATTGGAATTTAATGGAAGGAAATGATTTACCCAGAAGGCAAGTAGAGTCAGCCCTAGACTCACCCAGTTATTGAAATGTTAACCCTGATATATTGTCCAGTATGAATTGGTTTTTATTTTACTTCAGTTTCTTCAATTGTAAAATGTAAGAACAAATTTTTTTGCCTCACACTATCAGAATGAGGCACAAATACTAAAATGTGGCCAAGTGGCAATTGGATGCAAAGTACAGCCAAGTCTGGAAGGTTCTCCTTTAGAAAGATTGTGCTATGGAGACACGGCCTACTCTAGCTATATAGCCATACCTCGTTTTATTCTGCTTGACAGGTACTGTGATTTTTACAAGACCTTTCACCAACAAAGTGATTGCAAATCACAATAGACTTACGTGATGATTCATATTTTTTAACACGCAAGTACTTTTCAAATTATGTATATTTCTTAGACATTTGCTATTGCACATTTAATAGAGTTCAGTATAATATAAACATGACTTTTATGTGCATCTAGAAATAAAAAAAAATGTGTGACTCACTGTATTATAATATTTGCTTGATTGCAGTGGTTTGGAACTGAATGTGCAATATCTCCAGGGTGTAGCTGTAGTAGGCCATGGTTTGGCCAAGTCCTTGGTTTCTCTGTTGGCCGCCTAGCGGAACCTCTGGAACAGTAGAGGGTCATCTTGGCAAACAGGTTTGGGAAATTCTGGGTTAAACAAATTATAGAGGCTATTTAGCATAGGACTTTTCAAGCTTTTACTATGCTGATGTGCCCTGAGAATCTCCAGGAAGGGGAATGTAGAAAGGAATATTCTCAAGTTTCTTTGACCCATAAACTTTTTTTCTCCCCAGAGAATAAATATCCAATGGCATCTATTAAAGCTACCATTCATTGACCTTAGCACAAAAGTGCTGTGTATAGGTCAACTCATGTAATAATATTTACCCCGACACGCCGATATTGGCATTGTTATCCCTGTTTCAAAAATAGAAAACTAAGGCTAGAGAGCGACTTGCCCCATTGAGCCACACAGAGCACATCTTAGCTGTCCATTCTTCTGCCTCTCGAGGCCGCAACCTCACTAGGGAGCTAGTCACGTGACCCTGAATTATCCTGTGGCCCCGGGTCATCCAGCTCAGATATCTTGCAGCCTTCAGGCGCCTTGGCCAAGGTTTACTACTTCCTAGGATTCCAGCTGTCCTTCAGTTTCTAACAGCCAGCATTTACTACATCCTAAGCAGCTACAGTGCTTTATAGAAAGTGCCAGTTGTAAACACAGTGAGAACTGAAGGGCTCCAGGGAGTGAGAGCGCAGCGTGACTGCAACTGGAGCAGGCGAGAGAGGACTCAGGTGTGAGAAGATTTTGAACTGGCTCCAAATGCTGGGCAGTACTCAGAGTGCTGAGAGGCCACGGCACGGACATTTCAGGTCAAGGATGACCTGACAAAGACTTTCATTAACAATGAATGTGGCAAGTAGAATAAGAAGGAATTTTCTAGATCGCTCTGTGAGACCAGTGTTAGCCTAAGAAGTAGACAAGCAAAGACATTACAAAAAAGAAAACTACACAACAATGTCCTTTATGGATATAGATATGAACATCCTCAATAAAATATTAGTAAATGGATTCCTATAACATAGAAAAAGAATTATCCACTATGATCAACTGAGATTTATCTCAGGAATAAATAGACTTTTAGGGCTCTCCCTGGTGGCACAATGGGTTAAGGCATCGCATTATGAAGCTCCACGAAGCCACTGTAGCACATGTTCAATCCCCGGCCAGGGAGCTGACCCAGACCAGGCAGACCTCTCCTGACTTGCCCGCTGCTCCTCTCAGCAGTGTATGTTGTCAGTCTGCCTGTTCTGCTCCCCACTCTGTCTCTGGTAAATCCTCTCACCCCTCCCCCCCACACCTCTGGCCTGTACCCCAGTTCTGTAAGCATAAATAAATAAATCTTTAAAAACAAATAAAAATGAACAGGACTTTAGCACCATTATTAATAAATAGACCTTTACTAACAAAATAAAGGACAAAACCCACATGTTCTCAGTAGAAGCAGAAAATGCATTTGACAAAATCCATGACACCTTTTCCTGATTAAAAAAAAAAAGCTTAAATAGGATAGAAGGGAACCTCTTAACCTGGACAGGAGGCATCTATGAAAATCGACAGCTAATATTCTTAATGGTGAAAGAATGAACAAGATACTACTGATCTGTTCATGCCGTAGGACATAACTAGGACAATAGGCAAGGAAAAGAAGTCAGTCTTGGAAAGGAAAAAACAAAACTATTTATACATGTCATGATCTTACATGTAGAAAATCCTAAGAAATACACATACACACTGATTAGATAAAATAATAACACCTAAAGTTTACTAATAATAAACTAAAGTAATAATAAAGGTTAAGCAAGGTTGCTTAAGGGTACATGATTGGTGTATTTGTACTTCAGTTGCATTTCTGTACACTAGCAATAAAAAAGCCAAAAATTAACTAAATAAAACAATTCCAACTTATAATAGCATTAAAAAGAATAAATAACTTAGGAATAAATTTAACAAAAGAAGAACAAGATTGAACGCCAAAGCTGGCAAATGTCATTGAAAGAAATCAAAGAAGATAAAAATGACTGAAAAACTTAATATTGTTAAGATGGCAAAACACATCTTCCTTGACTTCCAGTGGGGTGATAATCCTGAGAAAGCCATTTTAAGTTGATAATACATTTAATATACTTAAATGTACTGATCATCTAGCTCTTCCTGGCCTGCCTTGAACATGCTCAGCACACCCTTGTATCCTGACATCCTTGCAAACAAGCTAGTTAAGAGCAAGACTCCTGCCAGGAGAATTCATGTATGTATGATGCACATACATGCTAAGAACTGAGATAGTTTCCTGAAACTTGTGAAGGAAGATGATCAGGAAAGAAGGAAGTCAAATAGAAAATTACTGTGGTTCAACTGAAGCCAGCTCCACTCAGAGAAGCAAACTTTGAGACAACCAGTGGCAAGAAGCCACTCCTCCCATGATACAAGTATTTGTATAGTTCATGCTTTAGTTTCTCAAAGTGGCAAAAAGTATACTGTCTCTTTGCCCCACTAGAAAAGGAAAGCTGGCCCTCCCTGGTGGTGCAGCAAGTTAAGGCGCAGCACTGCAAGCTGGCTGCAGCTGATTCAGTGCAAGTTCTATCCCCTGCCGTGGAGGTGACCGCATGGCGCGGCAGACCTCTCCTGTCTCGCCCGCTGCTCCCCTCATTAGTGTGCTTCGTTGATCTGCCTGTTCTGCTCCCCACTCTGTCTCTGGTGAATCCTCTCATCTCCACTGCACCTCTGGCCCGTACTCCAGTACTGTATGCATAAATAGATCTTTAAAAAAAAAAAAGAAAAGAAAAGGAAAGGAAAGCTACACAGCTGGTGTCACCAATGAAATTACAACTACCCTTGGACCTCTGGTTACCCGTGGGCCTTAGGTAGGTTGGCCTTGTTGCTAGAAGCTGGAAAAGACTTATTTTGCCTGGTTATTCATTCTCTGTCCATAGGAATCTGG